CAATCGGAGTCAACGTGTTAATGCATTTCCATAGAAGCATTCAAACCATGCACATAGCAGGTGGAAATACATTAACATGGCTTCTATGGAAATACATTAATGTTTATTGCACTGGATCTTGACTGGCATATGCATGATCGCGGCAGTGTGGTGTGAACCCGGGCTGAAAGATGTGCCCTGTTAAAAAAAACTCTCAAATGACGTTGAAACGAGGTTGATTTCGTTGAAAAAATGTTTAATTGATTTGGGTTTATGTCAGATTCCTGGTAGGCGATAATGATATATAGTAGACTTTGAATTTTATTTACAAATTCTGTGCTCAGATTTTCCTATGTTCCGTATTTCAAAAATGGTCAAAGAAAATTACACTAGGGAGACATACAATATAGGTACATATATTAAAGTTGAAAACATCAAGACTGTTAAATCGCTATAAATTTCCAAAGCGGAAATCGGCCATGTAACTATTTTATAAAAGCATTTAAAATTTGAGTTCTGAAACTGCTCGTAATTGTAATTCACACAGGGCGTGAAAATTTCGACCATGATAAAGAATATTTTTGCAGACAAATTAAGTACGGCGTAGATGACAATAAAGTGGAAGAATACAGTAACACTTGTGAGTGGAGTCAAACAATAATGCAAAGCTATTAAGAAGAACAATAAGTTAGATCATCTTAGTGAAACAATACTGTGAAGTTGTGAGGGATTGCAATAGGATTAATGAAATTCACTTATAACACGGAGAAAGGATCCGAATCTCGAGTTGAGAGTAGGAAAAAGAAAGCCCACGGTTTATTTATTGGTATTTATTTATTTATAATTATAGTTCCTGATTTATAATTTTTGTTCATCTTTTATGTATGATCATTTGTCAAGTGACCGGGGTCAAAGAAAGCTCATTTGTTTAATAGTCTACAAAAAAGTAAAAATAGAAACAGTGAATGGAGTAGAAATACTGGGACAATGAAGTGCAAAAATGGACCAACGAAATGGCGGCGGTCACATCTCACATCTGCAACTGTATATCTGTATTAGATGTGTATTATATATATAAACCTGTATATGTCTGTGCATCTGATATTAGAGTAGTAGATAATTACGGTAAAATAAATGTAAAAAAATCGTCACGAAAGACAAAGCATTTCGTGCAAGGAATGTGGAAACACACGGTTTTTCATGATAAAAAAAACTTCAACGCGCAAAAAAGTAAAAAAGAAAACATGAAGAAAAACAAAGCACACTCGATACTGAGTGAACTCAAGAGTGAAATTAGTTTATAGAAGCATTTAAAATTTGAGTTCTAAAACTGTTACTGAAACGCACAATTTTGCCACAGATATCGTGGCGTGGTGAACAGATATCGTGGTGTGGTGAACAGATATCGTGGTGTGGTGAACAGATATCGTGGTATGGTCGTGCTGGTGCGATGAAGGCACCACAACACCACAGACTTAATGGTGCAGTGGTCACCATACAGAAAAACAAACTAGCAACACTGCAGTCAGCAGGCATTTACTTGGCATCAAGCCAAACCGAGGTTGCCGTACCGTGTTATGCATAGCAAAGCGCTGTGTACTGCGCTATGTACTGCAGCCTGTACTGCACTATGTTCTTCTTTTTTGGCAAAATAACTCCAGGTTTTGATGCATTGTAGTACAACTCTTCTAGTTACATATGCAACAAACAAATTTTAGGAAAGTCTCATAGTTTGAAAATAGGGGGCGCCACCCCCAATGGGGGAACTTAGACCACCTAATGTCAGCCCTGACAGGGTAACATATAGACCGGCTTGGAAATTAATTTAAAATTACCATATATAACATTTCATGTTTGATACACCTATTAATGTTTTTCCTTTAGGTTTCAGACTCTACAGAGTCTTATATATGGTAATTTAACTTAATTTCCAAGCCGGTCTATGTTAACCCTGTCAGGGCTGCCATTAGGTAGTCAGAGTTCTCCCGTTTGGGGAACTTAGACCACCTGGGGGGCGGGACCCCCCATTTGCAAACTATGAAACTTTCCTCAAATTTGTCATTTGCATATGTAACTAGAAGAGTTCTACTACAATGCACCAAAACTTGGAGTTATTTTACAAAAAAATATAATTGATGTTCCCACACAGTCTAAGATACCCCCAGAGCTGGGGTAAAAAAGACCATCAATTTTTTTTAAATTACATAAAAACTATGAGAGGCAGGAGCCAGCAATTTGTGGTGAGTGAAGCTAGAGTATAGACCTGTATTTTACATGTTTCAATTTAAGTTTAACTTATCTAGTAAAAAAATGGCATCATTAAAAAAAAGTGGTCTAAGTTACCCCAGTTTACGGTATGTACTGCTACTGCAATGAGTACTGCACTATATACTGCAGCCTGTAATGTACTATGTTCTTCGCTATGTACTGCAGTCTGTACTACACTACGTATGTACTGCAATGAGTACTGCACTGTGTTCTGCACCACTGTACTGTGCAGTACAGCAAAGCACTGCACAACAGCGCCATGCATTGCAAGTATGAACCATGTACAGCACTGTTTACTGTCACTGTACTACAACATCGTTCCAAATTTTACTGTTGAACTGTGAACTGCACTTGCCATCTTAGGTGATCTATATGATTAAATTAAAATTTTCTGTGTTCGGAGTATTTCCTGTATATTTCTTAGTCTGAGTCGTCCTGAATTTTAATCTGATACGTTATAAATTGCTACTTTCGTCATTGTTGCTATTAATTTTTATTTCTTTTGTATTTGGAATGAGAACAATTATTTCGAAATGCATATTTCCACTCATTCTATTAAATAGTAATCAGTCCCACAAATTCAAAATAATTACATCAATTAATTTACAATAGTGTAATAAAATGTATTTTTTGGCAAAAACATCACAATTCTCTTAGTTTTTGTTGAACAAATCGAAGCTTGTAGCTCCAGGCATCATTTATGAGCGCTTGAACTGTTCAATAACGACCAACAAGTCATTGTCATTGCCAGGCTCAACAAGTCATTACTTCTGGATGCGCCTGGCAAGCATCAGAGACAACGGAACACAGCCACGATGTCAACTACAAAAGCTTGCGTCGTTACATGAAAATTTGTACTTGTGCACACATAATTGTACTTGTACACACACACAATTTGTATTTGTACACACACACAATTTGTATTTGTACACACACACAATTTGTATTTGTACACACACACAATTTGTATTTGTACACACACACAATTGCTATTTGTACACACACACAATTTGTATTTGTACACACACACAATTGCTATTTGTACACACACACAATTTGTATTTGTACACACACACAATTGGTATTTTAACACACACACACAAAATTGGTGACAATAACTATCGAAGCGCGGTCGATTTTAACGTTATTAGCCAGTATCTTAAATTAGAAACCTATCGGAAACAGCCGAACGATTATCGGCGGGTAAGATCGAATCATTCAGTAGTACGCAGTTGGGAAACAAATTTAGGAAATAACGATAAAGGAACGGATCTAAATCAAGTTCATGTCCTAATTTGGATAATAACGACTGAACCAGCTTTTGATATTCGCGCGATCGCAACCGATACGCACTTTTTTTGACAGCGCGCTTTAGCAGTTGAATTTGTATCAGCGTCCAATGATTGTCTGAATAACCCGAATTCAGTAATATTAACTAAAACTAAGAAATAAAAAGTTTATAAACATTGTTTTCAACTTATTTTCACGAAGACTTCATTTTTGTTTAATATTTTAGTCTGTCAATGCATGAAGCCTGAATGAGCGAAAAAAATTCACTTCGTGCACAATTAAACCGGCAAGAGCGTTGCAAGGATTAACATTTCAATGGACATTAAATAAATTGTTATACAGAGGATAAAGCACAGGGAAAACCGCCAGCATTACAACCTGACTTAAAAAATGAACTTTTGCCAAACGATGGATTCCTGAATAATTTGTTACGTATGCTGGGTAATGTAATATCAAAATATGATGATTATATATTATAATCCATGAAATCTATCAGCGTAATATTCTGACGTCGTACATACTGGAGAAGAGTTTAAAGTTTAAATAGCATATATCCAGCCTTCCACCCGAGCCTGCCAGTCTCTTACACTTCCACCCGAGCCTGCCAGTCTCTTACACTTCCACCCGAGCCTGCCAGTCTCTTACACTTCCACCCGAGCCTGCCAGTCTCTTACACTTCCCCCCGAGCCTGCCAGTCTCTTACACTTCCACCCGAGCCTGCCAGTCTCTTACACTTCCACCCGAGCCTGCCAGTCTCTTACACTTCCCGCTAAACCTGCCAGTCTCTTACACTTTTTTTGTACGAATACTTTTTTCACCCTCAAAAGTGAACATGTTGCATTGTTTTTTGTTGCATTGAAATTTAATTTCTTTTGATAGTATTTTTGAATACTATGCGTCTCTATACATAATTTAAATCACTTTTCCTGTTAAGTTTGTGTACTTACATACATTAAAATACGATTTTTCAAGTGTACGAATATTTATTTCCCCCCACTGTATACTATATACCGTACTTCGCGATTTAGCCTGGAAAGCGAAGATTCATCTTAAAATAATTTGAAAACATATGAAATAACAATTTAGCCATTCAAGTAAAAATAGAATAAGAATACTTACGAATGAAAGCTCAGCCGGACTTAAATTCCATGTTGAACTAAACCAATTTTTTCATACAAGAAAAAAAATAAGAAACATAAGGATAGAATCATGGTATGAACTAAATCTCAAATTAAAATATTTTTGGTGAAACAAACTGTTCTTGAACTATCACACAATGTACTATAATGTACTACGTATAATACATTGTACTATAGTGTACTATAGTACATTGTACTATAATGTACTATAGTACCTTGTACTATAATGTACTATAGTACATTGTACTATAATTAATTATAACTAACAACGTGCATATATAACTAACAACGTGCATTATAAGAACGTAACTATAATGTACTCACAGGTCTGGGATGCCGAGGTGACGTAGAGTCCAGTCGTGCTCTGTACTCCAGAAACTGCGGTCGAGACGCAGGGTGTTCAGTACTAAACCCTCTAAACGTCGGACTGCGTTCATTACTGAATCCTCTGAACGGAGAAAAGCGTTCAGTAATGAACCCTCTGAACAACGGACTGCGTTCAGTGCTAAACCCACTAAACGTCGGACCGTTGCCAAGAAGGTTCTGCCTCCGAGGTTGAATAGCCCACGTAGAGGCGCTCAGGAGGCTGTTGTGGTTCACGACGTTTGTGGTCCATGTCTTGCATAACCGTTGGTTATTTACACTTCGTGTTGCCCAAGCTGCGTTGCTAAGATCATTGCTTACATCTTGAGTTGCGCAGGACGCGAGACAATAATTATTTACATGCGATTGTGCCCAGGTTGTGTTGCTAATGAGGTTTATGTTTCTGGATTGTGTCGTCACCCAAGTCACGTTGTGGCCGAGAATGTTGTTCATGAGGGCGCTGGTGCAACAGCGGGCACGTTGAAGTTCTCTACATGGCCCTTGAAGCTGACGTTCACTCATGCACCATGAAAATGTCTTCATAGATACACATGGTTCTCGAGACCTGCGTAAAACTTCCCTCATTGCCTTCATCTCCATGGTTTTGATTTGTTTCGTGCTAGTTTTATGGACAGGAAGAGGTAAATTGTGTCGTATGAGAACAGTGTAAAGTTCAGAAAGTTAGGTGGCTATTCACACGATTTTTCTAGTTGTCATGGTTACTCGATTCTAATATTACAAGCGTCGTATTTTTATTCGTTTACGTTTTTATATCGATTCTAAAACAAATAAATTTTTCATCCAGCTCATTTCTCACGCTTACGTTTGATATCTTTTCTTAATCAATCGTTAAGAGCTTGGCTTGACCAAGTCCTTTACTAGACCAAAGTTCGATCTCAATAAAATTTTTCCAAGTCTTTTCCACAGCAAAGATTCTTGTAACGGTAACAAACAAACGCTAGTTGTTCACACAATCAATCTATGCAAAGAGACGAATTTTAGCAAGCTATACGCTACGAATAACGCACGGGAAAGACCTCGGGCAACAAACTTTTCACACATGCACTCCGGGACCTGCTCTCTTCACGTTTGAAATTTTCACAACCACTTCATGGATTTGATCCTCTTACGAAGTAGAAATTTTCAACACAAACTAAGATGCAATTAACGTCCTCATTGATATTTCCAGGTTGATTCCTAAGACTAAATAAAAAATCTAAAGCAGTGAAGATTTTAATTAGAGGATTTGGTATTGAAAACAAAATTCAGTAATGCATAATAAACATTTTTACGCAGCTTCTTTGGCACAACAATCTGCACATCAAGGGTTAGAATATTATTATTAATTATTTATAAGTATTAATAATAGTTTAGCACAAGTAATCCAACGTGTACATTAGGATAGGTGGAAAATTTTAAGATAAATATACTGTAGTAAATAAAATGAAATTATTTTGGATGAAGACGAGAAGCAAATACAAATACTTACACTCCGTTTTTTTAACAAAATTGTGCTATTCTCGTATAAGAAGCGATGTTCCGGAAGGAGCATTAATCTCTTACCTATATTAATCTATTAACATTAATTAATCACTAATACCAACCAACATTTCCTGAACAACCCATCTACAAGGATCAGCTAATACAAACCTAGCACCCGAATGGGTTAACTCCTGCAACAAAAGCACATCGTCGTACAACATTGCAATTTAATTCTTCAGTTTGTCGTCAAGCGACCAAGTTGAAAAAGTTGTCTCATTACCAAGTATCTTGGGCACACGGAATGCGCAGCAATCCAAAGAAGTTTGAGACGGACCCAAAGAAGTTGTCTTCAGCTGTTGTCTTTAAATATAGCAGGAAGCAGAATTAACTAAAGCGCATCCAAGCACTAACGCCTTTTCAAGCATGCGAATAAAATAATTAAATGAATATATATAAGATGATAGAATAATCTGGAACCAAAATTCAACGTGAACAATCATGTTATCCTGGAAACCCACAAAATAATAACACATATATAGTGACGACGTCAATTAAAAAAAAAATTAGATTAGTTCTCACTGCAGTGAGTGACAGCGAATTTTTCGTCCGTGAAGTCTGTCCAGTTGTGAAGTCACGGACGGACGGACATTACGAGCACAAATATAGCGCCTTTTTTCCATAAATGAAAAAAATACTTCAGCTATTAACCCGTGAAAATACATAATTTCATAACCTCAGTAGCAGCTCTCACAGACCGATAGAGGACAGGTGCATAACTTCGTCTGAGAGTTGGTAGGAAGCAGCAAACCCATAACAAAATTTAGAGTCGCCCCCGCTTCTGGTAATCCAAATCAGAAGCTGCCGCGTCTGTAAATTTTCACTGGGTAACAAAATTGAGTCGCCCCAGCTTCTGGTAATCCAAATCAGAAGCTGCCGCGTCTGTAAATTTTCACTGGGAAGAGATGTCAGGCAATCTCACAGAGTGCGTTAGTTCAATAAGAGCCTCTCGAAGCATATCAGCAGCCGCCGCAGGGCTCTAGACCTCATCTCGAGTTATTTTCCGGACCGGCGCAGCTACGAGGTATCCTTGGTAATTATTGAGAGCTTGTGCACTTACTGCCGGCAAATGAAGTTACTGCCGTGATACAAGCGAGGGGTAGGCAAGGGTTGCACGCAAGAGGCTAGTAAGAGTGAGAGTAAGAGGGCTAGTAAGAGTGCAAGTGAGAAAGCAGCTAGTAAGAGTGCAAGCAAGAGGCTAGTAAGAGGGCTACTAGAGTGCAAGTGAGACAGCTAGTAAGAGGGCTAGTAAGAGTGCAAGTAAGAGGACTAGTTAGAGTGCAAGTAAGAGGGCTAGTTAGAGTGCAAGTAAGAGTACAAGTAAGAGAGCTAGTAAAAGAGCAAGTAAGAGTACAAGTTAGAGAGCAAGTAAGAGGGCTGGTTAGAGTGCAAGTAAGAGTACAAGTAAGAGAGCAAGTAAGAGGGCTGGTTAGAGTGCAAATAAGAGTACAAGTAAGAGAGCAAGTAAGAGGGCTGTTTAGAGTGCAAATATTATTATTATATTATTATACGAGTACAAGTAAGAGGGCTAGTTAGAGTGCAAGTAAGAGTACAAGCAAGAGAGCTAGTAAGAATGCAAGTAAGAGTGCTAGTTAGAGTGCAAGTAAGAGGGCTAGTATGAGAGCAAGTAAGAGTGCTAGTAAGAGAGCAAGTAAGAGTGCTAGTTAGAGTGCAAGTAAGAGGGCTAGTATGAGAGCAAGTAAGAGGGCTAGTAAGAGAGCAAGTAAGAGTGCTAGTTAGAGTGCAAGTAAGAGGGCTAGTTAGAGTGCAAGTAAGAGGGCTAGTTAGAGTGCAAGTAAGAGTACAAGTAAGAGAGCTAGTAAAAGAGCAAATAAGAGGGCTAGTACGAGGGCTAGTTAGAGTGCAAGTAAGAGGACTAGTAAGAGAGCATGTAAGAGGACAGGCATGTATGGGTTCAAGCGAGGCCGCAGGTAAGGGTGCAAAAGAAATAAACTTGAACATCCGAAAGTAGATTCTCGATTGAAAAAACATTTGGTAACCAGAAAAAGGTTAGGAACACGTTTGGTAATCAGGGAGAGCTTGAGTCCTGGTCTAAAACCAGGGAGACATTGACAACACGTTGTTCCAGGTTTAAATGAGAAGATATAAAGGAAAACTATTAGTAGGAAACCATCATAAGATCTTGCTGCTCGAATGGTATCAGATTAAAATGAAAATTTTGAGTGAGACAGCAGCAGACTCTGTGTTTCTGAGTACTGTACTCTGTGTTTTGAGACAGCAGCAGACTCAGAGAGATGCAACGCTCCATCTGCTTTAAAGCAGCAGCATCTGCAAGGAACAGGCTGCAGATACTAGTACACATGATAGCGGTATTTTGCAACACATAAACTAATAAACATTTGAAGAGTGAACATTAAAGTAGCACCCGAAAGCTAGTAACGCATGCATGCAACATCAGCTGCAGCACGCACGATACGCTAGCACTCGCAACACGCACGTACATACACCGCTGCAAATGGTTTCATTACTTTTGTAACTAAAGAAGTAACAAGGCTCAAAAAAAGTCGAATTCAACTTCTAAACAACTTTATGATAAATTATTGTCAGTTTCGTATTCATTTCAACCAAATATTATCATTATTATTATACGAAGCATTTATCGTGGCGTCTGGTTCAAACGAACTTCAAGAGAACGTCACACATAAGATTAATAGCAAACGAAATAAAATACTTAAAAAATTTTTTTAAAAAAACACGTTTTTCTTTTGGACTAAAAAGTAGAAAATAAATTATGGCTTGCCCCAAAAAACGTGTGTCGGGCAGATTTATGATTAAAGCGAAAAGCACACAACACACGAATTTTGGAAATTTGATGGTGAACGTACAGCCCGACCCACGTAACAAACAAACAAACAAACAAACAAACGCGAAGCTAAGCTAAGAAAAACGTGTTAAAAAAAGACACAAGAAAGGACAGGAACGGATAAAATGATTTAAATGGGGATAATCCGATACTATTACAAATTCGCAGGCAATATTCGTAATTGTGCGAGCTGCGGCCGAATAATAATCAGTTAACGGGAAATTTTAAGCCAAAGTTCCAACTCCGGACGTTCGAGGTCAGGAAATCGAAGTGGTCAATAATTCCCAGCTGCACTTTTTTCTGCACGACCGCCGCTGAAACAATTGCTCGACTTCGGAAGCCGATGACGAAGCGGCCGTTCAACGCTGCAAAGTTGGTGGCTCTGGTGTGACTCAGCGGGCCAGTGGCACCGCTAACAATGCCAGTGGCACTGCACTCTTTGCAGAGCCAGTGGCACTCTTTACAGAGTCAGTGACACTCTTTACAGTCAGTGACACTCTTTACGGAGTCAGTGGCACTCTTTACAGAGTCAGTTGCACTCTTTACAGTCAGTGGCATTCTTTACAGAGTCAGTGGCACTCTTTACAGAGTCAGTGGCACTCTTTACAGTCAGTGACACTCTTTACAGAGTCAGTGACACTCTTTAAAGAGTCAGTGGTACTCTTTACAGTCAGCGGCACTCTTTACAGAGTCAGTGACACTCTTTACAGTCAGTGGCACTCTTTACAGTCAGTGGCATTCTTTACAGTCAGTGGCACTCTTTACAGAGTCACTGGCACTCTTTGTATAGGCAGTGGCACTCATCAGAGACAGTGGCACTCTTTACAGTCAGTGGCACTTTTTGTAGAGGCAGTGACACTCATCAGAGACAGTGACACTCTTTACAGAATCAGTGGCACTCTTTACAGAGTTAGTGGCACTCTTTGTAGAGGCAGTGGCACTCATCAGACAGTGACACTCTTTACAGAGTCAGTGGTACTCTTTACTGAGTCAGTGGCACTCTTTACAGGGTCAGTGGCAGTTTTTGTAGAGGCAGTGGCACTCATCAGAGCCAGTGACACTCTTTACAGAGTCAGTGGCACTCTTTACTGAGTCAGTGGTACTCTTTACAGGGTCAGTGGCACTCTTTGTAGAGGCAGTGGCACTCATCAGAGCCAGTGGCACTCTTTACAGAGTCAGTGGCACTCTTTGTATAGCATATGGCACCATTCGCAGCACCGGCAGCATCGATCGTAATGCCAGTAGCACTGAGCACTGTCCTTGTAATTAGGGATAACTTAAGGGCTATTATATTATATCAAAAGACAGGCAAAATTTGATGGATTTCAAGGAATCACCAATAGAAAATCTGTTCTATAGTTTAATCAATTAACATCATCATACTCAATTCTATTGAAAAAAAAAAACACATACATACGAGCATAAATTCAACAGGATGAACTGAAGGCTATCACGCGATAACGAACAGAATTATCCTTTTTGAAATTATGATTTAGGAGATACATAAATTCTAGGATCCAGGCGTATAAAAAAGCCTACAACAACGTGAAAAATTGTTTTGAAAACGCCAATAGGCAGTATTAGAAAAGAGCAAATTACTTGATGAAGAGCTGGATGACATCACGGCGCAACGACGTATTAAAGTAATCATTCGAAATAATCATTATTTCCTTAAAAATACAACGCAATGACCTTATTGATTATTTAAATGTTATTATTCGATGGAACATTAGATTACGTCACGATACGAGAAGACATTCATACGCAATAGGTCTTTAAACGAAGCATTACAAAGTATCAAGGCCAATACTTTCAAAAAAAGTTAAGAGATCGTAAGTTCATCCGCCAATCATAGACAAGAAAATAGAGCGTAAGTACGGTACTTAAGTTCACTTAGCGAGTTTTAAAAGTATAGCCCCAGAAGGGTAGGCAGCATTCACGGCAAA